CTCCCTCTCCACTCCTCCTCGCTATCTACACCCGATCCGAAATGAATTGTACGCTTTTGGGTTGCGAAACAGTTGCTTTTGAATCGCTGCTATACGCGCTCTAGGTGCATCAAGATTGCCAGGGTTCGCTCACATATTTTACCAAGGGATTGTATGAGTTCGCTCCACTTTGCCATAGGCTCGCTCGTGCACAAGACGTTCGCTCAGGTTCGCTCGGATATAACGCCATAGAGTCGTCAGTATTCGCCTCTGTTCGCCACGTGTTCGCTCTAGGTCGCTCGTGTGTGCGGGGAGCTCGTCAGCTGGCCACCGGAGTGCGATTGGACCGCCTATGTGCGCGAAAAGCTAACTTTTGAGTCGCTTACGTCTGTACGTTCGCGCGCATTCGTCGCTTTGCCCAACTCAGCACAACAGTGCGGTTTTACACGTTGATCGTCAGCTAGCGCAGTAGCCGCAGTCGTAGCGACTCGAACCAGTAAGTCAGAGTCTCGGGATCGAATCCTAGCAAAAGCGGAAAAAGAGACCACCGAGAGCCGGACCATCGGCGAACATTTTCGAGCAGCATGAGGAATGTTTGCTCTGGGTACGTCAGAACTCGCGAAACGACCCCTTTGCGATCTGTACCGAATTGAAAGCGAACAAGGAACAGTGAACGCTTTTTGTACGCTTTCTGAGACGCTTTCTGTATGCTCAAACGACTCATCGGCAACCCAAAAGCAAACAATTTATTTTAGATCGGGCAGCGCAGAGCGGGCGGCTGGCGTAGGTTTGTAAGTTTTGGCACCGCTGCCCCCTCCCCTCACTAGGCTGGCGGTTAGGAAGTGGAGGGGGGAAAGAGCGCAGCAGAGCAGCAGCGGCGTCGACTCCAGCAGCTTCTTAAGCTGTACGAAAAACTTAGGGGGTGCTTTGTGGCCTGATCTAGTGGACTGTCTATTTCTTAGCCATGTGGGCTAATTTTTCCTGACAGATTTTTTTTACTTATCTTTTTTCCTGATTTTTTCTTCTGATTTTTCCTGACTTTTTTTGGAAGGTATACACTGATTACTTTTCAAAGTCAAGTACCCCTCGAAGCCACCACACAAACTCTGCCGGCAGCGATAGCGAAGCCCACCCGAAGTATGGCAGTGACACCGCACACCACCACCACCGGCCGGGGGTGGTTGTTCCGCTCGCTTTTCCTGCGAATTGCAGTCGTGCCAACGAGGCGGGGGTGTCGTGGCCGCGCTTGTTATTCTGCCCCCAGAGCGCGGGGTGGGGGGCGGCCTGGAGGGCGGGGGGCCGAGATACCATCTATACCGCTCGGGCCGTAGCTTCAGGTCGGAGGCGATCCCGTCCGGGAAGTCGGGCAGCGCGGCTCGCTGGGTGACTTTCTTGTTTGCCCCGCGCACGGCAAGGGCCGCGAGGGGCAAGGCATGGCCCGGGCTGCGACCCCCCCCCCCGTCTTTGCATATCTGGATGTCTGCTCCAAAGGAGTAGGTGTCGTACAAGTACCTTTGAATTCAGATGTTGACTGCATTGTCCTCCTTATTGCTGGCTGTACCAAGAGACCGCAAGAGACTATCAGGGATGGGACAGGAACCTCCCCGCCCCGCAGCTGCCACCTGACGCACATCATCTGGGCGCCTCAGTATAGCGCAGAGACCCTGTTTTCTGTCACCCCAGATTTGCACAGAGAGCGCTCGAGGTACAAATTATTTTTCCCTGAAAAATATATGTACAATTTATTTTTGTAGTCGGCAGTTCGTGCGGAATGAACTATTGTGTCTCCATTCTTGCATATAGTGCCTACTTTCTTTTTTTCTGCGTTTTGCTACTTTAAGGGCATTTTTTCCCAGTGTCCCTTAAGGCATATGTTTATATACGGGGGGGACGGCCCCCAGGCCCTTAGGCCCCGGGCAGCTCCGTTCCCCCGCTGCCCGAGCCGCTGCCCCTCTCTCCCCCCTGTAATGCCTCCCTAATTAAAGCTTTTGGCGTAATGGGCGAAAGCGTAAGCAATAGCGACAACAAGGTGCCGCTGCCTTGCGTGCGTGGCCTGCGAGGGGCGGG